TAATACATTTGATACCATTGCCCCTCTGAAAAAGAAGGTAGTGAAACAGAGGAGGCTAGCCCCGTGGTACAGCTCGCAGCTCCGCTCCCTAAAGCAGGCATCACGAAAAATGGAAAGGAGGTGGCGCTCCACTAAGTCAGAAGAGTTTTTCATAGCCTGGAAAGATAGTTTAATAACATATAAGAAAGCCCTTCATAGTGCCAGAACCGCATTTTATTCATCACTGATTGAGGAAAATAAGAACAACCCCAGGTTTCTTTTCAGCACTGTAGCCAGGCTGACAAAGAGCCACAGTGCTGTTGAGCTTAACATTCCCTTAGATCTCAGCAGCAATGACTTCATGAGCTTCTTTACAAATAAAATCACAACTATTAGAGAAAAAATTGGTCGGACCACTCCCACAGCTCTCGCAGATGTGCCATCTACTACAATGGCTTTAGAAACATCTGTAAGACCTCATTTATACTTGGACTACTTCTCCCCTATAGATCTCTCTGAGTTGACCTCAACAATTGCTTCATCTAAATCATCAACATGTCTCCTGGACCCCATCCCGACCAGGCTGCTCAAAGACGTCTTTCCCCTAATCAACACATCCATACTAGATCTGATTAACCTCTCTCTATTAACAGGTTATGTTCCACAGGCTTTTAAAGTTGCAGTAATTAAACCTCTACTCAAAAAGCCTACTCTTGACCCAGGTGTCCTAGCTAATTATAGACCAATATCCACTCTCCCATTTATTTCCAAAATCCTTGAAAAAGCTGTTGCAAAGCAGTTATGTGACCACTTGCACAAGAATGATTTGTTTGAGGATTTTCAGTCAGGATTTAGAGTCCATCATAGTACAGAAACCGCATTGGTGAAAGTCACCAATGATCTTCTCCTAGCCTCGGACAAAGGACTTGTCTCCATACTTGTCCTCTTAGATCTCAGTGCTGCTTTTGACACCATTGATCACAGCATCTTACTGCAGAGACTTGAACATGTTATTGGGATTAAAGGAACTGCGCTAAGTTGGTTGAAATTTTATTTATCAGAAAGATTTCAATTTGTTCATGTTAATGATGAATGTTCCACACAAACTGAAGTTAGTCACGGCGTTCCACAGGGCTCTGTTTTAGGTCCAATTCTCTTCACTTTATACATGCTCTCTTTAGGCATTATTATCAGGAAGCACAACATAATTTTCCATTGCTATGCAGATGATACTCAGTTATATTTATCTATGAAGCCAAATGAATCAGGTCAGCTGGTCAAACTTCAAGCATGTCTTAAAGACATAAAGGCCTGGATGACCTGCAACTTCTTACTTCTAAACTCTGACAAAACTGAAGTTATTGTGCTTGGGCCTGAAAACCTTAGAAATCTGCTGTCTAATCATATAGTTACTTTAGATGACATAGCTCTTGCCTCCAGTACTACTGCGAGGAACCTTGGAGTCATCTTTGATCAGAATATGTCTTTTAAATCACACATAAATCAAGTGTCTAGAACTGCCTTCCTTCACCTTCGCAATATTGCAAAAATCAGGAGCTCCACACAGTGAGCCTGTATGCAGGGAGAGTTGAGCAATCCCCTTTTTTGTATAAGTTGCAGTGTCATGAAGCTTCACACCACTACTGTACTGTGTGTGTGGCATCTGTGACAGCTGAACAGACTTCACACAGGAGTGAGCCAGAGAGCCAGAGAGCCAGAGAGCCAGCGAGCGCAAAGATCCCTATAAAGCACACCTCTCTACTGGTTGGCACACAATGAAATTATTCGCAATCTAGCTCTGTTTGATAGAGCAGAGTGGCAACGAGGGAGCACCTCTCTGTGCTCCGCCATCTGTTCTGACTGGAGGCGTTCACACACAGAAATGCACAGTAAATAAGCAGAAAGATAACAAGATAACAATACTACGCATGGATTTTTGTGACCAGATGGATCCTTATTTGAGAGGGGGATATCCCCTACAGAAGTTTTTTTGTGGAACTTCCTGAGTTGCTACAACTGCAGGCTATGTGAGTCTGTTCAGCTGATCATAAATGCACTGTAGAGAATAGAAGATGCCTAAAATGCCATATACAAGTTCATGCAAATGAACGCAGTGTGTAACATACAAATAGTCTTACTTACAGTTCATAGGTTAAGATAATCGGATCATAATTTGTGCATTTTGTAATGGAAAAAAGGCTCAAACTGTTCACTATCACTGCTGTGGCATTTTTACATAGCACCGCTTAGTATTTGCTGTTCGGAGAGAAGGGGAACCAGGCATGTGAAATGATTTCTGGAGCACTGGCATGAGTAATCTCTGGCTGTTGTGGATGAGGCCAGAACACCGAGTCGCTCCCAGAGGACTTCAGTGCAAATGTGCATTTATATTTTTAAATCACTGTCACTTCTCAAAATTTTTATAATGTAGCTCAAGTTCTGCCTCAAGGTCTAATATTCCAATACAGGATTTTAGATGGTCAATCACGCATTCATTTTTTAAACAAATTGTAATTATAAACTGTGAAAGGACTCTAGACTAATAAAATTGTTGGGCTGCATATAAGCAATTTTTGTTTACTTTTACAGTATGCTCACGACTTTATTTTTGTTCTCCGGCACATTAGTCCGTACCGAAACGTCTCAAAAACTACCATGGATTGCCATGACAAATTCAGAAATGTTTACACACACATTCTTGTTTCCTGGCAGATCAGTCCTAATGCTTTTGGTGATTTACTGACCTTTCCTCAGTCAGGTCAAAAATGCAGTATGACCACAACAGTGGTTTATGAAAAATTACTTGAAAAACTGATGCCGCTCCTTGATTTGATTTGATTTATTCTTTCAAGCATGTAAAAACAGTTGATATGACAACACATAATTTTACACATAATCCAATATCAATTTGCTTATACCTAGTACATGCTTGAATGGAGTAGGAAGAAGTCAGACTTATCCAGTCCTACCCCATGACATCATCTTACCATCATTGGTTTGCAAGCAGTATCTCTACATAAATAATTCTCTTCTACACCACACAAGTAATATACTAAAAAAATTATAACAGAGTGTTAACATTCTTACATAATTACATTCTTAAATAATTATCTTCTACACCACACAAGTAACATACTAAAGAATTAATACAAGGTGTTAACATTCATACACCACACCCACAATGTTCCATCTAATCAATCATTAAGCCTGTTCTTGAATATATCTTGATTGACACATACCTTTATATTTATGTTTAAACTCATCAATTCTATTACTATTTTTT